CGCCCCCAAGCGACGCGGGCTGCATTCTGATGTCGCCCGCCAGGATGAAATGCGTAGACGTATCGCCAGGTTGCCCGCCTCATCAATGCGGCATGTCCTCCCTGGGGCCGGCCATCTCAGCTTCCCTCTCCGAGCCCGGCCTTCTTTTCGGGGCAGAGGGGAGATACGGGACACAAATACGCCACAGGACTCTGCTTTCGCCGGCCACCTGCATCTGTAACCGCGGGCGGCGGTTGTACTCGCGAAGTCCGCCCGATCAGTCTTTGTGGCCGCTGGCATTCAAGTTCTCGCTGCAAAACTCCAGTCTTCCCCAGTCTTTAGCCCCTCTCTCTTGCGCGCCATCCTTCTGTATCCTCCCCGCCCTAGTCCCTCTCAGTCAGGGTGGCGCGCATAGACCGGCGCTTCCCGCGATCGGTCACTTTGTTCCTTTTGACAATCGCGCAGAATATACCGCGCGAGGGGCCATCTTGACCGGACAAGGCATATCCCTTTCGATGCCATCATCGAGTAGATATTAGTGGAGTAGGAGTTGAGATGGAGCGCCGTAGGAGTGGATTGGAGGATGTCAGTGAGTCAGATTGATTGCAATTGGGCACGAGAGAAGGTTTGAGCCGGTTCTGAATAGGGCAGACTTGGAGTCGGCGTGGTAATTTCGTATCGACAGCCGCCAGCTCTTATTTACAAAAGTGGAGGCTTGCATATGATGTTGTAGTGAGGTAGAGCGGGAATAGGTGCGCTTAGGCGTGCGCTGGGGGGGTGCTATTCGGGCTACATAAGCACATGTGCATGTAGTGTTAAGTTCGCAGCACACTTGATATCCACCCATTGGATCGGCAATGTGGTCGCGTGGATCGAGGGTGGCCGAGTGTAGCGAGCATCCAACCAGGGCAGAGTGTGCCTTCTTGCATAAGCAGGCCCGCTCATCTAATACGACTTCTGAGGCTGCGCATTGCCGTGCCGCCTCTCTGTAAGCATGACAGACTCTTCCGGGTACGAGTGATATACATGTACTCATGTGCGCAGATCGGTGGGTCCAGAGCGTGCGTAGTAAAGCCGGGCCGGGAGCTTGCGGCGCGCCCTCATCGTCGCTGGTGCCGTCGGGGGCATCCAGAGCCCAGAGTGCAGACGGGCGTCGTCGCTGGCGCAGCAGTAGCACGTCGGATACCCGGAACGAGTGTCCGACGTGCCCAGTGAGTGAACGAAGTACTCCAGCGCAGAATGCCTCGCGTTCGCCGGCCGCGCAACATATTCAACTGGGGGATTCCAAGCGCAATGCGCGCGCAACGTACTCCAACAGCACATCCCGCAGATGGCACCCGCTCACAAAATTATTTTCGCTGGTTTGATCAATGGCCCAAAGCGTTCCACACTTTCCCATATATATATGTATGTATGTTTGTTATATATATATATTCTAAATATATTACAGAGGCATGTGCGACGTAGAGAAGCACTCCAGCGATACACCAGTGCCATCTACGAAAATTCGTAATGCTCCGAAGGCACTCCAGCGTCATCTTCAACATGTCCAAAGATATCCCCCTGCCATTTGCGAAATTTCAAAGTACTCCAGATATGCCCCCGCGGTGACCTCTGAGATTTCAAAATCTCCGCAGGAGACGCTCGCCGACCATTTCGGGGACATCAAAACACTCCAGGACGCAACGCGTTACCATACTCGACAGTCCCAAGTCTTCCAGGAGGTGCCCCCGCGTGTGTTCCGGAAAGCATGCCTTGAGGTGGGCCCCGTGGTTTTTCTTCGGGAGCGCGAAGACCTCGCAGTTGTTCCCCCCCCCCTCCCCCTCCTCCCTTCGCGTGACATCGCGCCGCTGCGGCGCGTGACGTAGTGGGCTCGATGGCGGTTCAGATGCCCTACGTCAGGGTTGCCAAACGCGCGACGCGCACTGCTGATGCGGTGCCCGCGTGGGCAGAACAGCGCGCCGCTACGTCGAGAACGCATAGAAGCGTGCGGCACATTCTGCGTCGCGGCCTCATTCTGCGTGCCCGATCCCGCGGGGGACTGGCTCTCAACGCGCGCGAGCGCATCGAACGTGCGATGCGTCCCGCGCGCGATGCGCAGTTTCCAGACATAAATCAAGGCGTTTGCATCAATGTTTGGATCCAGTTTACCCGCGCACCCGCCTTCGTTTCTATTGACCAGTATTTGCACATTGGGAAGGGGGATGAGGAGGGCGTTGGGGAGGGGGGGCCGGTCGATCGGCCGATCGGAAAGTTGATCGATCGACCGATCGAGAAACAATGACGAGCTTGCAGAGTTCCGCCCGACCCCGCGGACCCCTATTTTTATTTTGCGGCGTTTTTCGTTCGCCGTCTGCGCGCGTTGCGATCAGCGGTTGCCTTTGGTTCGTCTACTCGTTTTTTTTTGTTTCCTAGTTGCTCCCCTCGCCTCCCTTCAGGGCACATGCTGCGCCTGTCGCTTGTCGTCGACGTGAGTCCAGTGGCAACGAACCGCGCGGAGTCGGCTGAGTGCGCAGCAGGGTCCGTTCGCTCCCGCGAGAACGCGAAACCATTGAATGTGTTTCGATGTTCTTTTGGAGCGAATTATATGCGACCATCCTTTACGCGGCGTTGAACAAAAGGCGTTCCTTTTGTTTGGTGCGCAGGGCGCTGTGCACTTTATGCGCGTCGAAACACACATGGGGGACATCGTACAAACAAGGCCATCCTCCAACAGGGACAGTGGTTTGTCCGACGTAGCTTCGGATCATCATCCAACTATTTACGAGTGCTTTCATGTAATCAGCGGGCCGAGGGTTTTAATTTTTCCCCCACATGTGTCGTCGGGTTTGGTTTTGTCCCACCCGCGTTGCACCCGCCTTTTCTTTACACATCCTTCCCCCTTCCTCCCTCTCCTCCTCTTCCGTTCCCGCGCGCGACCCATGTGCGGCGCGCGCGTGAGAGGCGCGTCTGCATGTCGCCACACGCATGCGCATGCTCGCACACACACACACACACACACACGTCATACACCATACAACGCTCGTGCACGCCTGGCGTGTTCACAGCATCATATGCCCAATACGTATGCACAACACCCGGGGCACCCACATGAGAAACACGTCCACGTCCAGCCTGGCGAAGCGTTGCACATCGCCCCTAGGGTGCGCACGCAGTGCTTTACGCTAGCACGCGTGGATTTTTGTCATCAGCAGAAGGTGTGCGTAATGGGGTGGTTCCACATTTCGGCCGCCATGCGCGTGTCTCGTCCAGGGCATAACAACCGTAGCGTTGTTTCGCCACCACAGAGAGTGCGCAGGGGGTGGTTTTTGAGCTTGGCCGCGGCGCGCGCCTCTCGTCCAAGGCGTAGCAGGCGTGGCATTCTTTCGACACGAAAAGGGGGTGCGCAAGGGGTGGTTCCTGAGTTCGGCCGTTACGCGCGCCTCTTTGTCCAGGGCGTATCCGGCGCGGCATTTGTTCGACACCAGAGAGGATGCGCAAGGGGGTGGCTCCCGAGCTCGGCCGCTATGCGCGCCATTCGTCCCCAGCGTCGCACGCGTGGCACTCTTTCGACACCAGAGAAGGTGCGCAGGTGGTGGTTCGTGAACTCGACGGCTACGCGCGCTTTTCGTCCAGGGCATGGCAGGCGTGGCAATCTTTCGACACCACAGAGGGTGCGCAAGGGGTGGTTCCTGAGCTCGGCTGCTACGCGCGCCTGTCGTCCAGGGCAGAGCAGGCGTGGAACTTTGCCGACAACAAAGGGGAGTGCGCAGAGGGTGGTTCCCGAGTTCGGCCGCTATGCGCGCCATTCGTCCCGGGCGTAGCAGGCGTGGCACTCTTTCGACACCACAGAGGGTGCGCAGGTGGTGATTCGTGAACTCGACGGCTACGCGCGCTTTTCGTCCAGGATATGGCAAGCGTGGCACCCTTTCGACACCAGGGAGGGTGCGCAAAGGGTGGTTCCTGAGCTCGGCGGCTACGCGCGCCTCTGGCCAAGGGCAGAGCAGGCGTGGAACTTCGTCGACAATAGAAAGGGATGCGCAGAGGGTGGTTCCTGAGCTAGGCCGCTATGCGCGCCTCTCGCCCAGGGCGCCGCAGGCGTGGCACTTTCTCGACACCAGAGGGAGTGCCTCGACACCAGAAGGGGTGCGCAGGGGGAGGCTCCCGAGCGCGGCCGCTATGCGCGCCTCTTGCCCAGGGCATAACAGGCTATGTTTTTGTCGACACCAGACGGGATGCGCAGAGGGTGGTTCCTGAGCTCGGCCGCTATGCGTGCCTCTCGTCCAAGGCATAGCAGGAGTGGCACTTGCTCGACACCACAGGGGGTGCGCATCGGGTGGGGTCGCTATGCGTGCCAGGGTCCCAAGGCGTGGCAGGCGTGGCACACTCTTCACACCGCAGCAGGTGCGCAGGGGGTTGGGTCGCTATGCGTGCAAGGATTCCAGGGCGTGGCAATCGCAACACATTCTCCGCACCGCAATGGGTGCGCAGGGGGTGGAGTTGCTATGCGTGCCAGGGTCCCAGGGCGTGGCAGGCGTTGCGCATTCTCCACACCGCAGGAGGTGCGCAGGGTGTTGGGTCGCTATGCGTGCCAGGGTCCCAGGGCGTGGCAGGCTTGGCACAGTCTCCACACCGCAAGGGGTGCGCAGGGAGTGGGGTTGCTCTGCGTGCCAGGGTCCCTGGGCGTGGCAGGCGTGGCACATTCTCCACACCGCAGGGGGCGCCCAAGGGTTACGCAGGGGGTGATGGGAGTTTGTGCCCTTAGTCCTGGGCTGGTCCAGTCCTGAGCTCTCTACTCCATCACGGGTTGCCGTCCAGTGACGTTTGTTGTCAGGTCACGGGCGAGGATTTGTGTTCCAACCAGAGCTGTAGACTCCTTGGCTCCAGCCGGCCCTCAGGCAGCAGTCGTAGCTTCTCTCAAAACTCGCCTGTAGGACGGCATGGCCGACATAAGAGTAGATCCGCTGACTCGTCTCCACTGCCGCCCAGGCTCTGATCATGGGGAACTGACGCCCAGAGGGTGTCCAGCGTTCCGTCCGTGAATGCTCCTGCCAAACAAGGCGAACACGAGAGTTTTGCCAAAACGGCTACGGAGAGGGCCCAAATCATCCTCGGCGCCCCGAAACGGAGTGCGGCGGGCGATCGAGGAGGAGGAGGAGGAGGAAGACGAGGAGGAGGAGGAGGAGGAGGGGGAAAGAGGGGAAGGCGGGGGCAGGGGGAGGAGCAGAAGGAGGAGGAAGAGAAGGAGGCGGACGACGAACGCCAATACAGGCGAGACGTGCACAGCATCTTCTTAATATGGCGCTTGGACCAGCATAGTGCCGAAGAGTTGCCAGCAACCCCAACCCGCGCGTGTCGTAGCTTTGGTACTTGCAGCGCTCCCCAGATAAAACGGCCTGCGCTTTGACTGAGTTGGGTGGAGGAAGAAGAGGAGGAAGAGAAGGAAGAGGATGAGGAGCAGGAGGAAGAGGAAGATGTACAGGAGGAAGAGGAGGAGAAGGAGGAGGATCGCTGGATCTTTATCACCTCTATGACCCCCTCCCCAACCACCTGGGCGCATACTTCGTGCCCTTGCGGGCTTCGTTTTCTTACTTTTCCTCCTGTCAATTTGTAGACCACGGCGCTCACCTGGTTCAACTTGTACACCTTAGGTGATGCTTAAGAAAACGTAAGTTTTCGGCCAGAGTCTCGATTATTCTTAACGTTTCAATGTAAATCTTAAGATTTTAATGGAAATGTTGGGTTTTTATTCAAGTTCTGAGACTATGAATTTCTTAACCCATGATTTCTTAAGCATTTCGCAGGGTGTAGACCATGGCGCTGGATCCGGTTCTTTGCATTGCATGCTCTCGAGCAGGAACCTAAAAACGTCCGCTCAACGTCAAACAGTTGGGTCGTTGCCATGTTGCGCCCTTTTGCCACCGTGTGCTCAGGCGGGCGCCAGGGAAGGGCTCTCTCCTCCCAGCGTCCTCCTGCATACCTCCTCGCTCTTCCTCTCCTGTCCGTTTCCCCCTTTTCCATCGCTCCCCCCACCCGGTCCTCCCCCTTTTCCGAGGTCGTTATATACTCGGGGCGGCAAAGAGGGGGGTGATGACTAGTGGGGGGGGATATCATGGCGCGGGCCATGATATTTCCCCAGATTTCATGGCGCCTCTTCTTATTTCATTACGTCCCTGGCCCCCCCGATGGGCCGCGCACATGCCGCCGGTCATGATTTGCACCCCTCCTCTTGGCCACCCCCCTCTTGGCCGCTCCCGATATACCACCCCGCAGTTGCGGATAAGAGTGAGGGGGCGGCGGGGACGTCTGCAGTCTGCGAGGCTCTGAAGAAGCCCGCCGCAGGCGCAAAATCTTCAAGCTATACAGCGAGCCCGCCGCAGGCGCCGATTTTTTTGCTAAAACAGTGTAGGTGGGTCGCGGGTTGGGTCGCAGGTGGGTCGCGGGTGGGTCGACGGTGTGTCGCGGGTGGGTCGCGGGCCAGGTCGCGGGTGGGTCGCGGGAAGGTCGCGGGTGGGTCGCGAGCGGGTCGCGGGGTGGGTCGCGGGTGAGTCGCGGGGTGGGTCGCGGGTGGGTCGCGGGCCAGGTCGCGGGTGGGACGACGACCAACAACAACAACAACAACAACAACAACAACAACACCAACAACAACAGCAACAACACCAGCAACCGCAACAGCAACAATAACAACAACAACAACAATCATTCCAAGACTGTTTGCTCCTACCGGACCACGTGTCATTCACGATGCATATCCCAAGCCCTGGATACCCGCCCTCTTCGTCTTCGATCGTACCCCTTTTTGGGGGGTTATAGTCTTTCCTGGCCACGTGTAATTGGAGAAGCCCCTTAAAAGGGAAACGGCAGGGAAATAACAAAAAGAGAGGACGAAGGGATCGGAGGAAGGGATGGATTAGAGGGGCAAGAGGGAGGGATGGACGACGATGATTTGTGCCGAGAGTTTCGATTCAGCTTGCGCCATGGCGTGCGCCACCCATTCCAACACAGGTGAACAAAAAGGCTTCGCAATGGGTCGCGCCATAAACAGCGCCATGTAACACCTCTGGTGCTGCTCGGCGAGGCGTTGGAGGTGAGGGAGAGGGAATCGGAATGAGGGGGAGGCGGCCCGGGAGGAGGGAGGAGCAGGAAGGTAAGAGTGCGAACTTTCGAAAAAGTCCTAGGCGAAAGCGCCATTCCACAAGGAAGTCTCGGGCGGCAGCCCACGACGGGCGGGCAATCCTCTGACGGGCGGGTCGGGCGGGTGGGACATTCAAGCGGGATGCCTGAGTAGGGCGAGAGCGCGATTCCTAAGTACAGTGTGGCGGCGTCCTTGGCGCGAGCGTGGTGCCTGAGCGTAGATAGCGCGATGTCTGAATTAACTCTGAAGAAATCACAGGCGAGAGCGCAATTCCTGGAAAGGGGATGTCTGGTGGGAACGGGGGTCTAGACTAAAGCGCAAGGAAATCTTAAGCGGGAGCGCCGTTCTTGAATCAATTGTGAGGGAGCGTCAGACGGGATAGGGTAAGGGGTCCTGACTAAATTGCGAGGGAGTCACAGGCGGGAGCGCCGATCTTGAGTAAATTGGGGGGACGTTTCAGGCGGGAGCGGGGGTCCCGGGTAAAGTTGGAGGGAGTCTTAGGCGGGAGTTGTTGAACTCCCACTCTTGAAGAATAATTTTTGTTGGTCCCCCCCAACCAGTGCGCACTGTTACCTAACAGCGAAGACTGATAGGTTTCTAGTGGTTTCAAAAGAGAGCATCATGACTTCCCAGGGGGGTGTGGGCAGATGCCGGACGGGTGCCGCGGGAATCCGGGGGGTGCCGCGGGAATCCGGGGATTCCTTTTTTAGCTAACAATAACACTTCGTGGTCTTCGAGATCCCAAAACTCCATTCCTGGGCATGATTTTGAATGCCCGGAGCCAACAGTAGGCCATTTCGTGTTCTTCGAGTTCCCAGAACTTCATTCCTGGGCATACTTACTTTTGAATGCCCGGAGCCAACCGTAGGCCACTTCGTGGTCTTCGAGTTCCCAGAACTCCATTCCTGGGCATGAGTTTGAATGCCCGAAGCAAACTGTAGGCCACTTCGTGGTCTTCGAGTTCCCAGAGCTCCATTCCTGGGCATGATTTTGAATGCCTGGAGCCAACTGTAGGCCACTTCGTGTTCTTCGAGTTCCCAAAAAATTACTCCCGGGCTACATTTTGAATGCTGAGGCAGGCTGAGGCTGAGGCTGAGGCAGGCTGAGGCTGAGGCAGGCTGGGGCTGAGGCCGAGGCTGCAGGCAGACTGAGGCTGAGGCTGAAGCATGCTGAGGCTGAGGCTGAGGCAGGCTGAGGCTGAGGCTGATGCAGGCTGAGGCTGAGGTATGCTGAGGCTGATGCTGAGGCTGACGCAGGCTGAGGCTGAGGCAGGCTGAGGCTGAGGCCGAGGCTGAAGGCAGACTGAGGCTGAGGCTGAAGCAGGCTGAGGCTGAGGCTGAGGCAGGCTGAGGCTGAGGCTGAGGCAGGCTGGTGCTGAGGCAGGCTGAGGCTGAGGCTGAGGCTGATGCAGGCTGAGGCTGAGGCAGGCTGAGGCTGAGGCCGAGGCTGAAGGCAGACTGAGGCTGAGGCTGAAGCAGGCTGAGGCTGAGGCTGAGGCAGGCTGGCTGAGGCTGCAGGCTGATGCTGAGGCAGGCTGAGGCTGAGGCTGAGGCTGATGCAGGCTGAGGCTGAGGCAGGCTGAGGCTGAGGCCGAGGCTGAAGGCAGACTGAGGCTGAGGCTGCAGGCTGAGGCTGAGGCTGAGGCTGAGGCTGCAGGCTGCTGAGGCTGAGGCTGAGGAGGCTGAGGCTGAGGCTGAGGCTGAGGCTGAGGCTGAGGCTGAGGCTGAGGCTGAGGCTGAGGCTGAGGCTGAGGCTGAGGAGGCTGAGGCTGAGGCTGAGGCTGAGGCTGAGGCTGAGGCTGAGGCTGAGGCTGAAGCAGGCTGAGGCTGAGGCTGAGGCAGGCTGAGGCTGAGGCTGAGGCAGGCTGATGCTGAGGCAGGCTGAGGCTGAGGCTGAGGCTCATGCAGGCTGAGGCTGAGGCAGGTTGAGGCTGCTGAGGCTGAGGCTGAGGAGGCTGAGGCTGAGGCTGCAGGCTGAGGCTGAGGCAGGCTGAGGCTGAGGCTGAGGCTGATGCAGGCTGAGGCTGAGGCAGGCTGAGGCTGAGGCCGAGGCTGAGGGCTGAGGCCGAGGCTGAAGCAGGCTGAGGCTGAGGCTGAAGCAGGCTGAGGCTGAGGCTGAGGCAGGCTGAGGCTGAGGCTGAGGCTGAGGCTGATGCTGAGGCAGGCTGAGGCTGAGGCTGAGGCTGATGCAGGCTGAGGCTGAGGCAGGCTGAGGCTGAGGCCGAGGCTGAAGGCAGACTGAGGCTGAGGCTGAAGCAGGCTGAGGCTGAGGCTGAGGCAGGCTGAGGCTGAGGCTGAGGCAGGCTGATGCTGAGGCAGGCTGAGGCTGAGGCTGAGGCTGATGCAGGCTGAGGCTGAGGCAGGCTGAGGCTGAGGCCGAGGCTGAAGGCAGACTGAGGCTGAGGCTGAAGCAGGCTGAGGCTGAGGCTGAGGCAGGCTGAGGCTGAGGCAGGCTGAGGCTGAGGCTGAGGCAGGCTGAGGCTGAGGCTGTGACTGCGACTGCCGTTGCCACTGCGACTGTCATCGCGAATGCGACTACGACTGCGAGAACAGCAGAATTCTACTACTGGATTCGCATCTGAACCTTAAGGGGAATGCTTCCAGATATGCTCCTACACATCGCAGTTAGGTTGCTTTGCCAGGATATTTTTTGTTCAATTGCAGTGCCCCCCCGGGGCTTGCACCTTGTTTTTTGTTAAGGAAAGTCTTCCTGCTCAAACTGGCCCCCTGGCCCCCGGGTTACAACAACAACGGCTCCCGCCTGAGACTTCCTCGCAATTTAGCCAGGACCCCCGCTCCCGCCTGAGACTTCCTCGCATTTGATTCAAGAATCGCGCTCTCGGTTGGGAATTCCCTAAGATTTATTGAGGAATCGTTCCTCCTTTGCTCTGGAGTCGCGCTCTCGCTGGAGACGTCCTTGCAATCTACTAAGACTAGCGCCCTTGCGTTGGAATTTCTTGCAATTTACTCCAGCGCCGCGCTCCCGACACCCAGGCACCCAGGAGTCGCGCTCACGCTTAGGACTCTTTCACATATTACCTAGGAATCGGGATCTCGCTGCCCTTCGTGGCCCCGTTGCAGCCCTTTGTGGCCCCCTCGCTTTGTTTCGTGGCCCCGTTGCAGCCCTTCGTGGCCCCCTCGCTTTGTTTCGTGGCCCCGTTGCAGCCCCTCGTGGCCTCCTCGTTGCCCCTCGTGGCCCCGTTGCAGCCCTTCGTGGCCCCCTCGCTTTGTTGCGTGGCCCCATATATGTATGCCCTTCGTGGCCCCCGCTCGTTCGCGCCCGCGGTGGCCCCATATGCATGCCCTTCGTGTCCCCGCTGTCGCCCTTCGTGGCCCCCCGCTCGTTCGCGCCCGTTGTGGCCCCAGGTGCATGCCCTTCGTGACCCCGCTGTCGCCGTTTGTGGCCCCCTCATTGTCCTACGTGGCCCAGGTGCTACCCTCAGTGGCCCCATCGTTGCCTTCTGTGGCCGCGCATTATCTGCCCTTCGTGGCCCACGCTCGTTCGCGCTCTTCGTGGCCCCATACGGATTCCCTTCGTGTCCCCGCTGTCGCCCTTCGTGGCCTACTTCGTGTCCTTCGTGGCTCTGCCGTCGTTCTCTCTCGCTCTTGCTTTTGCTCGTCGTCGTCGTCGCCGTCGCCGTCGTTGCCGTCGTCGTCGACGTCGTCGTCGCTGTCGTCGTCGTCGTCGTGGTCGGTCCCCTGTCCGTCCCTCTTGGGGTCGGGTCGACGGTCCGCGGCCGCCCCGCCGATCAGCGCTGCCGCTGGCCAGGCCGACGGTCCGCGGCCGCCCCGCCGCTTGCCGGGGCCCGGCCTGCAGGGAAGAAAGGTATACCCCCCAAAAGGGGTTCGATCGAAGACGAAAAGGGAGGGTATCGAGGGTTTGTGAAATTCGCGTTATTCCGCACTCGAGCAGATAAGGACGAACAGTCTTAAAATGATTGTTGTTGCTGTTGTAGTCCGGGGGAGCAACAACGCAGATTGACCCGGACTAAATTGTGAGGAAGTCGTAAGTGGGAGCGCCGTTCCTGAGTAAATTGGGAGGAAGTCAGACGGGAGGGGGGGTCCTGAGTAAATTTGGAGGAAGTCTCAGGCGGGAGCCGTTGTTGTTGTAGTCCGGGGGGCCACGGGCCCAGATTGACCAGGAGGTTTCTTTGTCAAACAATCAGGGTGCGAGCGTCGAGGGGCACATTTTTTCTGATCAGAAACAAGATGCACCGGTGAGGGAGGATTCGCAATAATTATCCTTCAGGATTGAAAATTCAACAAGCAAAATCCTCATCACGGGCCCGCACTTAAAGCCACGCACCCGGGGACAATGAATGACCGTTCGGCCCCTTCATTTTGATAAGAGTGCACCCGCACCGATCCTGGCCAGGCTGGGCCCAAGGCGGTGCCCAATCTCACGAGCGCGCGTGCAGCTGGCGCCCTCCCCTCCCCGTGCTCGTCTTCCCGTTCTGCTCCTCCCCGCCCTCGTCGTCGCAGTCGTCGTCGTCGTCCTCCTCCTCCTCTTCCTCCTCCTCCCCTTTCCCCTCCTTCCCGTCGCCTTCCTGCCCCTCCTTGCCCTCCGCGGCCCCAGGCTCTGGGCGTCGCCGACCCGAGCCTCGTCCCAGCCCAGGCGCGCACCGCCGGCCCGGCGCTCCCCCATCCGTGTTTCTGCCGCCGTTTTTGTTTTTCTGTTGTTGGCGGTCCTGGCTGCGGCCTTGCCTCGGAGGACAAACACTGATCGGCTGCCAGGATGGGGGGGAACGAGGGGGGGGGAAAGGCCCTGGCAGATCGCCTTGGTAGCGGGGACGATGGTGTGCTTCGGCGGCGAGCGAGGGGGGGGAAGTAAGAAGGAAAAGGCCTTCTCAAAGTCGGCGGGGTTTCCCAGAAGCCCTCTCGCGCCTTCGAGAAGACTTCCGTACCTTCCGGGCAGGCTGAGAACGTCTTTTCAGAAGGCCAGGGGGCTCCGCCCCTTCTCACTTCCCCCCGGGCCTGCCGCCGGCAAACAATGAGACAAGCTTAACTAATTCGGAGGTCCCTGCGGATACCTCGGATCGGCGCTGGGGCCCCAGGGCAGCGCCCCCGGCGCCGCCCCTTGCGCGTTCCGCGCGCCAGGGAGGGAGGCCCAGCGCCGATCCGAGGAATCCGCGTGGACCTCAGAGCTTTTATGTTTATGTTATTGTCTGCTCCCCTATTGCCTGCCCAGGGCCCAGTTTTTGTGGTATGAGCGACGCAGGAGAGCGGGCTCGATTGCGCCAACATTCGCAATTCAGCTCCCCGCGCAAGGGCGCGCGGAAGCGCCCTCGTTTCCAACGTAGCGTGCCACGCTGGCGGCCCGCGTGAGTCACGGCGTCAGGTCGCTATGCCATCTCGCGTAAGACCGTTTCGTTCTGTCGCTCATATGCCGGGTTCAGGGGCAACGTTTGCGGGGATAGCTCGAGATTGCAGCGTGTTGTTGCTTTGTTGATTGTTATTTGTTGTTTGTTTTTATTGGTTCCTGGAATATGAGGCCCGAGCTATGACCCGAAAGCCAGACAGCTAGGATCATTGGGCAGGGTCGGATCAGGAGGGAATGCGTCGACCCCCGATCGCCCATACATCGCCAATAGGGGCCCGGTAACCCAACCTGCGCAGGAACGTACGGATTTGCAGCTGGGCCCATCGCCCGTTTTTCGGAAATGTATTGTCGATTCCAGGTCGATGTTTCTCCCCCTGAGCCGGTGCACCCCTGGCGTTCCCCCCTCGCTTGTGACGGTCCTGGGATGAGCATTGGCGGTCAGGTTTTCGTGATCTGTTTGCTGCGGGAGCTCCCCAAAATCTCATCCCAGGTCCCGCCATTTGCCTGACGGCCCCGAAGGGCAAATCGGGGCCCCCCAAACCCGAGCTTTTCGTCTCCGCGAGAGGGGGGCGGAGCACGGGGAGGAGGGGAAGGCAGAGGCTCTGATGGGGGCGTGTGCCAGCCAGCGTTGCCGGACGTGCTGCCGAGGGCTTCGGTGCGGCATGCTGGCGTCGACAGGACCCCACGGGCGACATAGCAGAGACGAGCGTCGAGGAATTTGTTTGTTTTTCCTCGCCAGTTTCGGCGTCCCGAGGCTGGTGTCGGGTTCCGGGTCAAACAGCTATCCGTGGGGAAAGCACGGCCAGGAGGGAGATTTTTCGGGAGGTGCCTCGGGATTCATCTTGATCGGATTTGGACGGGGATTATCAGTGCAGTCGCTCTCGCGTTGTATGTCCTCCTGTCAAGCAGTGGCGAAGCGTCCTGGCTCGCCTATAGCCCTACGAAATAATGTTCTAAAACCCTTTTGTGGTTTCCGCGAAATGTTCTTAGAACACTTCTGGTGGAGTCTGTCTTGGTTTAACACATCGGTTTTATGATCTAAGAGCATTGTTTTTGTTATTCGGACATGGTTGGGTTCTAAGAGCATTTCGTGGTAGGACTATAGAAATACCGGGGACGGTCGGTCCCTGCTCAATCCAAGGGGCAGGGATGCCCTCGTCGCAATGACCGGTTCCGCGCCTCGGAATCCTGCTCGGAATTGAGCGGCTGTATGGGTATGTTTTTGCCCACCCCCACCCCAGGGTCGCGGAGGACAGCTGTGCAGATCCCCTCCTCGCAGGAAGGAGGGAAACATTCAGAGAATGGAGGGGGGAAGAAGGACCTGGACCTGTATGCCTTGTTCGCCTCTTGTGAATGGTCGACGGCGCGCCGAAGAGGGCGTCATTCTAAGCTCGCTGCACTCGGCCTTCAAACCGGAGCACTGCCCATTCGGCTCTTTGCCGCTGTGTCCCGCGCGCGGCGCAGCACAGGCGGGAGTCCGTCTCCCCGAAAAGAGAGAAGGCAGGGGGAGCTTCTTGGAACGCCTCTCTGCAATCCGGACGGCCTTATCAGAAGCGAAGAAGTCAAGGCTGCGCTAACATACCTTTCGGAGGTCCGTGCGTATTTCTTGGATCTGCGCTTGGCTCCTCTCCGTGGCGCGCGGCGGGCGCAAGAGGCGGTGTCGGAGGCGCCGTTTGGGGGGCCTGGCGCCGATCCAGGAAACCCGTGCGGACCTCTGACAATGTTGTTTTATGTAGTTTGTTCGTGCATCTGGCTCCCTCGAGCGTGCAAGGCCGAGAGCAGGCGCCAACTTTCCCCAAACACTGTTTGCATCCAGGGGTTTTTATTTCTCCTCTTAGGAACTGGGCTTTTCTGCCGCTCCAGCGGCTATGTTGTCGCCGTCGCCGCCTCGTTGCCGCGCGTCGACTGGGCCCGTCTGCAGCTCTGGTGGCAGTGTTGTCGCCGTCGCCGCCCCGTCGCCGCCTCGTCGCCTCGTCGATGTGTGGGCCTGTCTCTGCCGCTCTGGTGGCTACGTTGTCGCCGTCGCCGCCCCGTCGCCGCCGTCGCCTCGTCGCCGCCGTTAGATTCTATTTTCTCGAAAGAGAACAGACTCGACCCCCTTCCCGGGATTTTCCGTTCTCCTTTTTCTATTGCAATTTGCACACGATTTTGCTCCATCGTCCATCCTAAACGTGACGTCGTACCGTCCAAGGGGGGCCCGTATCGACCCCCCCCGCCATCCTTTACCAAAATTGAAATGCGTGCGCGCTCGTGTTATAAAAAACAGCAGTGTTCACGAATCCCTTGCAGCAAATGTGACGGAGTGCATACGCGCGCGTCGTCGCGCGCGCATACCAGAATCCTTCAACAACCTACGCTTTCGTACGGATTTCAAGATCGAGATTCCCCCTAAAACATATGCTTTCGCAACCAGCAGTTTCAATAAAACCATTGGGGACTCAACATGTTCATTAAATACAACCGCGCATGTCGAACTCTTTCGAACGCCCTTGCGCGCGTGCTGTCGCAAGAGTCGGTTGCAAGATCAATTAGTGGTGATGTGCGTTCGCTTGTCGTCGCGCGCGCATGCCGAAACCAGTCACATTTGTTTAAGTTGAAAAGGATTTCAAAACTGAGTGCCCCGACGCCATGTAATAAACTTGTGGTTTCGCAACATCCGTTTTTCAAAAAGCGTGTGATCGCGCTCTTGTGATTCGCATGATCACATATGTTCATGTGATTATATATACACATAAAGGAAAAACGCATTCGTTGTCCAAATGTTGCATGGACGTCTGCCGAACGGGCCTGTTGAACCGCATGCCGAAATCATTCGCGCGCCGTGGCGCGCGTGGTGGGGGTTTTGGCGCGAACCTTTGCAAATCATGCCGCGCGGGCCACTCGCGCGTCGGCCGCGCGCGTTTGGCGAACTCCTGCCAAAACCTTCATCGCCGACGCGAGGACGCCGTCATCGTCGTCGGCGTGATCAGCATCGGTGCCGTCATTTGCCGCGCCGTCGTCGGTGTCAACACTGTCGCCAGCATCGCTACTATCATCATCGCGTCTACTGTCGTCGGCGTTGCCGTGGCGCCGCGCACGCCCAAGTCGCCGACTCGCACTGGAGCGCCCGGTTGGGATGTGCCCTGCGGTCAGCGCCACCGCGGCCGCGTCGGCCCCAGCCAAACTAGTTGGCTGCTGCGCGCGCTTGGGCCGACTCGGCTGCAGAGATGCCCCGGCCAGGGCCGAGAATTCATCGCAGTCGTCGCCGCGTGGGTTTTGCAAGCCCGGGTGGGTGGGATGTTTGCAAAATGGTGCGGTGTCCATTCGTTTTTTTTCATATCTATTACGCGCGACGTAGAGTTTCTTTTGTATAACTATAAAACACAGTGTGATCCACCACCCTTCCGAGGCCGGACTTGTCGACCCCCCCCAGGGGGCGTGCAATTTCCATGCGACCTTAACCGACGTCCAACCAGAATGCAAAGTCGCACAATCCCAGCCGAGCTGGCATCGCCCCCCCCCGCCACCCCGTGCAAAACATGTTTTGCGCGCGCACTCGTACATCCCAAATCACCAGTTGCCGAACACATCCTTTTTGCAAGCAGTAGACGAAGTGCACGCTCGCGCGTCGTCGCGCGCGCGCGCCGAAATCCCGCGGGCACCTCGGGCGCCGCAAGGATTCCAAGAACAAGTGCCCCGACGACATATGATAACGCATGGCTTCCCGACAAAAGTTTTTACACGAATAGCTCGCGCTCGCGCTCTGGCGAATCCTTGAGATAAATTATAGGTGTCTTAACAGTCTCGCGCAATGTTGCCAAACGGGGCTTGGCGCGCGCGCCTCGAAATCGTTTGCTTTTGCGCGCGCCATCGTGGACTTTGTTGCCGCGGGATGTGAGGCGCAGGGAACGCGCGCGGGTCGTCTCGAGCATGCTTGAACTCTTCAACACGCGTTCAGTTTCGCGTGTTTTTTAAATACGAGTGCCCCGAAACCAACAACCTGTGATTGCTTGCAGAAGAGCTTGCGCCCGCGCCCTGGCGAATCCTCTTGACAACTACAGGTTCATATATGTATATATATATGTAAACAAGACCATGAAATTCTGCCAAACGGGCCCCGCTCGCCGCGCGCCGGAATCATTCGGCCGCCCTTGCGCGCGCGGGGAGGGGGGGTGCGATCTGCGCTATATCGCGCGGACCACTCGCGCGTCGGCCGCGCGCGCGTGTCGAACTCCTTCCAAGACCTCCATCGCCGACGCGAGGACGCCGTCATCGTCGTCGGCGTGATCGGCGTCGGCGCCGTCATTTGCCGCGCCGTCGTCGCTGTCGACATCGTCGCCGTCGTCGCTACTGTCATCATCGCGTCTGCTGTCGTCGGCGTTGCCGTGGTGCCGCGCCCGCCCAAGTCGCCGACTCGCACTGGAGCGCCCGGATGGACGCGCCCGGCGGTCAGCGCCGCCGCGGCCGCGTCGGCCGCGACAAATTGGCCGGCCGCCGCGCGCGCGCGGACTGGCTCGTCCGCAGAGATGCACCGGCCAGGGCCGAGCATTCATCGCAATCGCCGCCGCGGGGACTTTGCAAACCACTTTGCGGGCGGGCGGGTTGGGTGCTTGCGCGAGCAGTGGAGTCGGCTGCTCACTGCATACAGAAACCAGTTTTCCGCTCTGAAAGGGCATGGGATCTCCCCTTTCACCCCGTCAGCTTTCCGCAGTGCAATTTACGTGCGGTTCTGCCCCATCGCCTTTCCGATTTGGAAGTTCATGCCATCCCTGGCAGGCCAGCAGCAGCCCCCCCCCCCTCGTCCTTTCAAAAAATATTACGCGCGCGCTCGTTTATGAACAGTCAGCAGTTTTCAAAAATCCTTCGCGCAAAATGAGGCGAAGTGGACGCGCGCGCGCCGTCTCGCGCACATGCCCGGATCATTCGAAAACTTGAGGTGTCGTAGGGATTCCAAAATCGAGCGCACCGAAAACATGTTAAACGCATCGTTTCCCAACGCTGAGTTTGAAACCAAGCTGGCCCTCGCGCTCTTGCTTTTTTTTCTTTTTTTTTTTTCCAGTTGACCATCGTTTGTTCAACATGTGCAACATGCTACCAAACGGGCTTCGCGCGCGCATGTCGAAATCGTTCAAATTCCTTTGCGCGCGTGCTGTCGCAAGAATCCGTCTGCGAGAAACGGGGCGGCCTGCGCGCGCGTCGTCGTCGCGCGCGCAGGCGGGCATCTTCAGACGCCGCAGGTCTCGCGAATATTTCACAAGCGAGCCCCCCGAAAGCATTTAGTAACCACGTGGTCTGGCAACGTCTGTTTGCCAGGAAGGCTTGGGCGCGCGCTCTTGCGAGTCTTTGAGAAAACCACAGGTGTTTCTATGACCATTTTCCCAGGCGGGCCTCTCGCGCCGCGCGTCGACCTCGCCCTGGCGCTCTTGCGCGCGCGCCGCGGTGCGGAGTGGCGCGCGCGCGTGGGGGGCGGGGGGGGGGGCGGCCCGCGTCGAATAGCATCGCGCGGGCGACTTGCGCGCGTCGGCCGCGAGCACGCGTCGAACTCCCGCCAGAACCTTCATCGCCGATGCGATGGCGTCGTCATCGTTATCGGCGGGCGCGATCAACGTCCGCGCCGTCGCTGGCCTTGCTGTCGCCATCGTCGCCATCATCGCCACTCCGATAACAGCGCCTACTGTCGGCGGCGTCGCCGTTGCACCGCCGGCGCCCAAGTCGCCGATTCGCATTGAAGTGCTCGCTGGGAATTGCCCGCCGGTCAGCGCCACCGCGGCCGCGTCTGTCGCGCCGAGCTAGCTGGCTGCGGCGCGCGCCAGCGTGCGCGGGCTAGCGCTGCCAGCCAACGCCAAGCACTCATCGCAATCGCCGTCGCATGGGTTTGACAGGCCAAGTTGCGCGCGGGTGGCCTGGGACGATTGCGCGAGCAGTGGATTTGACGACTCGCTGCGATCATTGGTAAGCTGCACCATATCGATTCCCTTTTTTCGGAGCAAGTAGTCTGGTCTCCCCATCCCCCCTACCCCCCGGGGTAACGCGTCGCCCATTCGCATTGCAATTTGCATGGGGCTGTGCCCCATGATCCACTCCAAATTTGAACTCCTGCCATCCCGGGCAGGCTGGCATCGACCCCCCCCCCCCCCATGCCATGTGCAGAAGATGCTGCGCGAGCGCGTGCTGGTTCATCAAAACGCATTAGCTTCCAAGAGCCCCGTGCGCAGTAATAGGAAGATGTGCGCACGCGCGCGTCGTCGCGCGCGCGTGCCAGAACCCTTCGAACACCTTGTCGTCTCCGCAAAGATTCACAAGTCGAGTGTCCAACGAACATAAACATACACGTGGTTTCCCAACGCGGATTTACCAACCAAAAGCTGGCGTTCGCGCCCTGGCGAATTCTCGAAATTCTACTAAAAGAGCTTCGCGCGCGCATGTCGAAATCCTTCGAGCGCCCCTGCGCGCGTGCTGTCGCGAAACCCTTTGCAAACATCGCGGCGAAGTGCTCGCTCGCGCATGTCGGATTTTTGTCCGAGACCGCAGGTTTCGCAAGGATTTCAAAACCGCATGTCCCGAAACCACATTCACACATATGTTTTCGCGACACCATGTTTCAAACAAATTTTCGCCCGCGCTTTGGCGAAGCACTTGAACAACATCAGGTGTTTCAGCCATTTCATTAAATTTTGCCAAACGGGCCTGTAGCGCCGCATGCCGACATCTTTCGAACGCCCTTGCGCGCGTGCCGGGGGGGGGGGTCACGATCCGTGTCAAATAAAACCATGCGGCCAGTCTCGCGCGTCGGCCGCGCGCGCATGCCGAACTCCTTCGGGAACTTTCGCCCCCGACGCGAGGATGCTGTCATCGTCGCCGGCGTGCTCAGCATCGGCGCCGTCATTGGCCGCGCCGTCGTTGCAGCCCAAATCGTCACCAGCATCGCCCCTATCATCATCATGTATACCGTTGTCGGGCCATGCTACCGCGCCCGCCCAAGTCGCCGACTCGTACTGAAGTGCCCACTGGGATATGCCCAGCGGTCGGCGCCACCGCGGCCGCGTATGTCGCGCCAAACTAAGTGGCCGCTACGCGCGCGTGCATGCGCGGGCTGGCGCGGCCGCAGAGATGCCAACGCCAAGCGCTCATCGCAATCGCCTCCGCATGGTTTTGCAATCCTTGTCGCGGGCGTTCGTTTGTAAAATTTTGTTGCGCCGCGTAGGTGTTCCAGATATATTGCACGACGTAGATTGCTTGGAACACACTGATCGGGTCCCACGTTGGCTAACATTACTTATTCCCCTGCGCTGGCTGGCGCATCGAACAGCGCCCTGCTAGCAGCTTGCCAGACACGCGGGCAACGACTCAGTGAAGCGGTCAGCGTTTCAACCAGGCAGTTCCGCACTTAAGCCGTCGACAGGTCCCCGGCAGAGAAGGAGCCCCGGCAAATGGACAGTTGTTTAGACATTGTGTGCATCTCTGCCCGTCTTGCAAACTGCGTCCGCCCCAAGGGCGGTTCAGCGCGGGCATGGGAGTTGCCCGCGCATGGCAATGACTCCTGTGCTTTAGCAAACTTTCTCTTTTGCGCCTCGTCTGGCGCACGGTGTCCTGACTGAGTGATTGCACCGGGTGGCCTTCCCAGAATCGGAGGCTGACAGGGACCCCACGTTGGATTGGCAAGTGATCGTCTGTCGATTTTCGAGACGGTCCATTTCCTCCTCTTCGCCCGTCCCCCGTCCTCCTTCCTTCGCTCCTTTCCTCCGTCCTCCAAACCCCAGCTGTGGAGCAGGGCGCGGAGGCCAGGCGGCGGGAGAGGGCGACGGTGAAGGGCGTCGTGCAGGCCGTGCGGACGGCCCCGCCCCCGGGTTGCCGTCCCCCTCCCCCCCCCCCCTCTCCATCGTCCCCCCTCGTCCCCCCTCCTCGATCCCCCCCCATCCACCCCCCGCCTTCCATAGCATCCTCCCTCGTCCCTCCTCCTCGCCCTCCCTCCTCCCCCTCGTCCTTCCCCCTCCAGCGCGCGAGGTGCGGGCGGGCAGCGGCTGCGGGGGGAGTCAGTGCGCCGAACTCCAGGCCGCTGCGCCGTCGCCACCGCCGCCTCCGCCGCCGCCGCAGCCGCCACCGCCGCCGCCGCCGCCACCGTCGTCGTCGTTGTCGTCGTCGTCGTCGTCGTCGTCGTCGTCGTCGTCGTCGTCGTCGTCTGGCGCGCGCAGGAGCAAGCAAGCAAATCCATGTGCAATGATGATTTTTGGCCTCCGACAGACGAGGAGCAAGAAGAGGAGGAGGAGGAGGAAGATTAGTTGGAGGAAGAGGAGTGGGAGGAGGGGGGTAAAGTGGGGAGTTGATGGAGGGCTGTCCGCTGGCAATTTCAGTCTATTTTATTATTTCCCTGCTTACCTTCTTCTACCGTCTAGAAGATGCCAACCTTGGTGACTTGATGCGGTCATGGGCATGACTAGCCAACGCGTTGGCGATGTCAGGCGACAGTTGCTGTCCATCTTTCGGGCGTGACGAGGGGGAGGTTGCGGAGTCTTTCGTGCGTACGAGGAGGCCTGGAGGCACAGTTAGGAGGCGCCAGAGTGGCGTGGGGAGGGGTGGAGCGAGGAGCGGCGGGATCCAACCTCCCGTGATTGAGATCCCCGCCGTTCCAGGGCTGTCTGGGGGTCCGCAGCGTCCTGTTCTCACGAGTTGTACCAGATTGGCCACTGCCTGTTGGTCCTGGAGGTTGAGGGCTCTGTACGCGACTGAGGTGGGCAGCGTAGGCAGAGGTGCGGCTGCGGTGAGGTCTGCTGGGGCAGCTCGCACCGGTCCCAAGATCTTGACTGCGCCCCTCAGCTGACTGTATCCCCGCTGCCATCTGCTGCGCAGGCGACGGTGAACCCGTTGTCCTCGCCTCTGCATGGGGGACAGGTCCGTCGCCAAAACGGTTGGTGGCTTCGGCTGGTTGCTAGGCACCCGGAGGGCACGCGGTGCCCGCAGGGGATGATGGAAGATGCGTCTGCGGTCAGGGGCTCCCGGCAAAGTGGGCAGAGGCTGTCGCAGCGTTGCTTGCCGGGGGGACGGATTCGGGGAAGGTTTGGCTCGTCTTATGGCTTCGGCCAGGGATTCGATGAGCAATCCGGTGCTGTCGTGCGCGTCTTGGGCGTTGGCCGTGATGGCACCAGCAAGGTGTCTAATGGTGGCCCTTACTGAGGGCTGGTCAGGGGGTTTGAAGGGCAGCACGGCTGGTCCACTGATGCTCTGGGATCTGAGGATTGTGGTGCAGAGTAGGTAAGGAGTTACCGCCCTTACCCTGTCAAGCCATTGAGCTAGTATGTCAAAGGTGGGACTAAATATTCATCTCACCTCTAGCAGGGGTTGGAGCATAGCTCGGTAGTGGGGGCGTATGCACACGGTGATGGCGGCGCTTAGCCATGCCGCTGGGTCGTCGCCCAGGTCGGTAGCGTCCTGGAGGTTGTCGCAGACCGTCTGTGCGGAGCGTCCGCTGACCTTTGGTCCTGTACGCTGTTGGCGTCCCTCATGGAGATGTCGCCGTGGTCGTCGGTAGGATCGGATGGCTGCCTGGTAGCCCTGCCGGCGGGGGATGGGTGGGCATGCGCGGGCCCGTTGAAAGGGTTGGGCGCGTCGTCGGGTTGTCCGCCCATCAGGACGGCTGCCTGCATGTGCCTCTGTGGGTCCGCCGCTTCCCTCACCCATTCTTGCAGGCGGGCGTGGACGTATCCGTAAGGACTGGGGGCGGGAACGTGTACTACAGCGTCCTGAGCTGCATGCTGGGCCGCTCTGCTTAGAGTTGCTGTGGCTCCTTCGGGGGTGGGGACTGCTCGCGAGGCCCACCATCGAGCGAGCGTCTGGAAGCTTTCCAGGGCTACGCGGTTGTTTACTAGAGCTTGCTGCAGCCTTTCTCGCGTGGCCGCCAGGGCGGTGTCCCAGATGAGGGGGGCCAGGACGCGGCTCCAGGTGTATCCTGCCGGGACAGTGCGGGCGCGGATCTGTGCGCGGACCCATTGTATTTCGTCAATGAGACCTCTGAGACGGACCTCTTGGCCACTAGGCGGGCGCTGTGGTGTGGCAGGGCGTCCGTTTGCGATGGCGTCGGCCAGCTGCCCGTCAGGGTCGGCCGCCCGCATAGTTCTCTCTTGGAGGGCCGGGTGCAATGGGGAGTACGGCTGGAGCTCGGGGATGGAGAGAGCGACGCCTCGGAGGGTGGTGGCGTCTCCAGCAAGGGTTGCGGTCTCACGTCTCAGGACGTCGGTGGCACCGGCTATGGTGCTAACGCGGTGTTGCTCCCACCAGGCCACGAGTGCGTGGAATCCGTTGAGCGCCACGCGCGAGTCCGTGAGGGTGAGCTGTAGCGCCTGTCTGGCCAGAGGGGTGGCGAAGTCCCAGATGAGGGTGCTTCGGATGCGTTCCTAATGCAGCGCGGGGGGGGAGGGGTCTGACTCGAGAGTGCGTGTCTCGCCCTCTCGATGCCGTTTGTGAGGGCCTGCAGTCGCCTGGTCCTGAGTTCCCCTGTGTTGGCCGCATCGCTCCCGTCCACGGTCCGCAGAGTGGTCGCTAGCACCCGTGGGGGCGCGTAAGGGGGTTTGGTGGGTTGGTTGTTGGCTTCCTGTCGCTACTGGGGCTGTTGCAGCCGAGGTGAGGCGATTAGTGCCGAGGTCGAGGGTGGCAATCTCCAACCGAATTTGCTGGACGAACATGTGGATCGTGGCGTTACCTACGGAGTCGTTAGGCACCAGCCGTCGTGCTAGTGTGGGGAGCTCATGAGCAAGCACGGCGAGCCCCTCAAGTAACTCCCCGGCAGTGGCCCTCTCAACGGCCGTTGCGCTGTGGGTTTGGCCGCCCGGCTCGGTTCGGTCTGGCTCACCGCTGTACGAATCTGCTGGGACCCTGCCGTACCGGCAGAGCCACTCCACCCCTGCTTCGCGTCAGCCGGATCTCTCTATCCCTGGGGCACCCATGTGGGATTCGTATGGCTCATCGTCTTCCAAGGCGCTGGGCTCCTGCGAGGTCTGGTCGTCTGGCTCTCTGTCAGTGATGTCCCCTGGCAGCCATGCGGCTAGTCCAGGAGCGGTGTCGACTCTGGCCCGCATGGCCAGGCACAAGTTGGTAGCCTGGGGCACCGAGAATCCTCTTATTCTCGCAAGGGAGTTCGCTGCTTTTAGGAAGGAGAGAGTACCTGGACGGAGGGGGTCGTCGTCGACGCTGTCGAGGTCCGCCCGCCAGGCACAGTTGTCCAACGAGCCAGGTTACGGTGTAGTCTGTTGGGCCTGGGGGGAGCCGGAGTAGTGGCCCCTGGGTGCGTATCGGCTCGCGGCATCAGTTAAGTGGTAGAGCATATCGTCGCCGAGCTGGTCGAGTTCGTGGGCTGGAGGTCTCAGCCCTCCGGGGGGGCCGTAGCTCGTCGTCGGGGTGCGGCCCCCTCCACCGTCCCCGGGTGCCTTAGGCGCACGCATGCAATACATGCGCCAGGGGTTGGGTCCCGCAAAAACCCACGTGCCGCAGGTTTGCACAGTGGCGCAGGGGAGAAGAAGTCACCGCCCAAGGCGGCAGGAGGCGGGGGTCTGGCGGGCCACGGGGGTCGCAGTTCGGGTTGCCTTCGCTGGCTCCGTCCCCGTGTTGCAGCGGTTCAGGCGGTCCTTGCGGGGTGTCCTGTGGCACGCCAGCTTGACTGGGCCCACCGGAACACGGCGTCGAGGTTGGGGAACGAGCTCGGCCTTGGTCCCCGTCGCGGAGTATGATGTTAACTAGCACGCTTGTGGTGTGGTCTTAGTGCGGAGCGGCGTGGACCCCGTTGTCGTGTGTAATTGGTATGAGGTCACTGTTGCCATCCAGGAGAGGTCGGGCCCCGAAGTTGCATTGCGCCGCTGCACGAGCTGCAGCGTGGAGGTGAATGGTGGCCAGGCTCCCTGCCTTGCCCATGGTTCTGGGCTGTCTGGGGAGGCTGTTTCAAGCTCTGCCGCGGCCCGTCATGCAGCGTAGTGCAGAGCCAGGGGTTGGAACGGGGACGGCATCCATCCCCCAGAATAGGCTTGCTTTGCCCGGTCGTCGTACTAGTAGGCCTACTTCGTCCTACTAGTACGACCGCGGGGCGTACTAGTAGCCGTACGTAGCCGTACTCGTACGCTCGGCCGTGCATGCCGCAGGCGTACTAGTAGCTGTACGTAACCGTACTCGTACGCTCGGCCGTGCATGCCGCAGGCGTACTAGTACCCGTACGTAGCCGTACTCGTACGCTCGGCCGTGCACGCTGCAGGCGTACTAGTACCCGTACGTAGCCGTACTCGTACGCTCGGCCGTGCATGCCGCAGGCGTACTAGTACCCGTACGTAGCCGTACTCGTACGCTCGGCCGTGCACGCCGCAGGCGTACTAGTACCCGTACGTAGCCGTACTCGTACGCTCGGCCGTGCATGCCGCAGGCGTACTAGTAGCCGTACGTAGCCGTACTCGTACGCTCGGCCGTGCACGCCGCAGGCGTACTAGTAGGCCTACGTAGCCGTACTAGTACGCTCGGCCGTGCACGCCACAGGCGTACTAGTAGCCGTACGTAGCCGTACTCGTACGCTCGGCCGTGCACGCCGCAGGCGTACTAGTAGGGCTACGTAGCCGTACTAGTACGCCCGCTCCGGTCGTATTAGTACGCGTACGTGGCCCTACTCGTACGCTCGGCCGGGCACGTCGCAGTCGTCCTCGTAGCCGTACGTAGCCGTACTCGTACGCCCGACCTGGCACACCGCCGCCGTATTAGTAGGCGTACGTAGCTGTACTAGTACGGCCGTCCTTGCATTCTGCTGCCGTACTCGTAGGCCCACGTCGCCGAACTCGTACGCCCCCTCCAGTCGTACTCGTACCGGTACGTAGCCGTACTCGTACGCTCGGCCGTGCACGTCGCAGTCGTACTAGTAGCCGTACGCAGCCCCACTCGTACGCCCGAGCCGCGCACCGCCGCCGTATTCGTAGGGTCACGTCTTGGAAGCATCTTTGGCCGTCTGGAGGCCATCCTGGGCGTCTTGAAACGATGTTTCGGCGACTCGGGGCTTCTTGGACCGGCTCGGGAGCCTCTTGGGGCCTTTT